CTAAATGTAAAGCCACTCATCCACCTAATCATTCTCATCTCGGCAACACTTATTATGCTTCTCTTTTTCTCTTTTAAAGGCCAACATTCAACGCCATAGAACCTTGCAGGTCTCACCTCCATCTTATAAAACTTTCCTTTCAGTCTAAGCGATACTTTTCTATCACACAAAAGGCTTGAAGCATTCCTCCACTTCAACCAACCAACTTGAATTCTACTATTAACATCCCCATCTATATCACCATCGCTTTGAACAACAGACCCGAGAGATTTAAATCGTTCACACCTTTTAATATTTTGATCACCCAAAGTTACACTTCTGTCACTAGAGCTACTACTGTAAAATTACATTCAATGTATTCAATTTTAGTTCTACTCAAATGAAGGCCTGTAGAATCCAATGTAGACCTTCATAATTCAAGTTTTTCCGGGGCTTTTTCTCTCGTCTTATCCACGATAAGGAGATCATCAACAAAAAACATACACCAAGGTACATCCTCCTGTAAATGTCCAGTAAGACCATCATAACTAAAGCAAAAAATATGGACTTAAAGTCGATCCCTGGTGAATCCAACAGAAATATGAAAATATTTGGTCAATTCTCCTTCAGTTTGAACACAAGTAACAGCTCCAGTATACATATCATTAATGACTTGAATATAAGTCATATCAACACCTTTCTTCTCAAGTACTCTTCAAAGGATATCTCTTGGAACCTTATCGTAAGCTTTTTCTAAATCAATAAAAATCATATGTAGATCCTCCTTATTATCTTTGAACTTCTCCATGAAACCTCTCAATAAATGTATAGCTTCCATAGGAGACCCGCCCGACGTAAATCCAAATTAATTATGAGAAATCTTTGTAATACGTCTTAACCTATGTTCAGTTACCCTTACCCTTAATTTTAAAGTATGACACATCAACTTAATTCCTATATTGTGCATCCCCTCTTGTGCATCCCCTTTATTCTTAAAAATAGGGACAAAAATACTCTTCTTCCACTCCTCAGGCGTCTTTTAAGTTTTTAAAATAATATTAAAGAGTTTAGTAAGCCAAGAAACTCCCAAATCTCCTAAACAATTTCATACTTCAATTTAGATATCATCAGGTCATACAGACTTTTCACACTTGGTTTTCTTTAAAGCATCCTCAACTTCTTTTTTCATAATGCAACGATACAAATAACACATTTTATCATTTTGTTATTATTAATGATATTAAGATCACTAAGATCGATTTTAATTTTCAGAAATTTCCTTGAATAGTTTACCAAAATAGCTCACTTACATATGCTGAACATCTTCCTCTAAGAAAATCACTTTTTAATTTTTCATCTTTAATACACTTTACTTGAGTTAAATCTTTATTTTTTTTTTGTTTTTATATCTTTTTGTTTGGCTAGTTTATACATATAAGTTTCACCCTCCTTAGTATCTAATCTATTATAAAGATCATTAAAAGCAGAATTTTTCTTATAAAGATCACTAAATGTCACATATTGTTCTTTTAGACTTGTTCTTTTAGACTTCCTGCGGCCGTTTGATATTTTTCTCATTTTTCTAGGCTTTTACACTTAAACCAATTTTTTTTAACATAACTTCTTATATATATATTTATTCAAATGATTTTAATTACTTCACAATCTATATATTAATTGTAAAGGGGAGGATGCTTTCTTAAATTTGAACCCTTCTTCACAAAAACTTTGTTTAGTTTTCATAAATTTTACTTTTGAAAGTTTAGCAATTAGTTTAATTAACTATCTTTTTACTGCATTTTATTTAGCATTCACTATATTACTTTATATTCAAATTTAGCACTTTACTTTTGTAGTTTAAAATTATAGTTTACATTATAATCTTAAGAATTTACTCAGGCATTTCGAACTTCCATGTGAGATTGATATGTAGGACTCTATAAGAGCCCTTTATTACTTGAGCGATACGTATACTTGCGTTACATTTAGGAGATTTGGTAGTTTAAAGATTTTTAAAAGATAAAACTATTTTCTCTAAAATTATTTTTATTGAGATTAACTAACATATTATTGTATTACTATTTCATTTGTCGTGTGTATTTTGTAATATTGAAAAATATTTATAAAATTAACATACTAAATCGACCCGCATCAAGTTTTTGGCGTTGTTGCCGAGAAAGTAACGGAAAGAAGTAGTATGTTATTCTATAATTTGAATTATTTTTATTTTAAACTAAAAAAAGATGTTTATAGTTTTGTTTGAATATTTTTGTATTTTTGTGTGTTTACTTATTTTAATTACTTATTGTGTTTGTTTATGCGTAGTGTAAGATCTGAAGATTTAGTTTCTTATGATTCTGAGTTAGAAAGAACTATTAGAAAAATTTGAAAACAACAAAAAGAGGTAGATCATATTAGCAAAATGACTTGTAATTTGAGTAATGATGGAAATGAAAATAAACATCATCAAAGACCTTTAAGAGATTAACCTAATCTTACAGCAGATGAAATTCATTTGAGTATACAAAACCCAGTTATAGCTGCAAGTTCATTTGAGCTTAAACTTAATATTATCATGCTATTATTCAAATGGAACAAAATAATCAATTTGGAGGAACATCAACTGAAGATCCTAATTTACACCTTGCTAGTTTTTAGAATTGTATGCTACTTTAAATATGATGGAGTGTCGAATGATTCCATCAGACTTAGACTTTTTACTTTTTCACTAAGGGATAAAGCTAACATGTAGTTAAAATTGTTAGCACCAGGATCTATCAGAACTTGGGGATACTTATCAAAAAAAAATTATCTAAATATTTCACATCTTAAAAAACTGTTAAGCTTAGAAACGATGTTACATCTTTTTTGTCAATTTGAAGGGGAATCAATTTATGAAGCTTGGGAAAGATTTAAAGATCTCCTTAGGAAGTGTCCACACCATGCATTGCCAGATTGGTTAATAATTCAAACTTTTTATAATGGATTGGTTGGATCCCTTAGATCGATAATTAAAGCTGCTGCTGGTGGATCATTAATGTCAAAACCAGTCGATGAAGCAGATTTTTAATTGAAGAGATGACTAATAATAATCTTCAATGACCCTCTGAAAGGGTAAATCCAAAAAGAGCAGCTAGTATTCATGATTCTGATGCAATATCTATGTTAGGATGCAATATGCAATATCTATGTTAGCTGCCCAAATAGCTGCTATATCAAAGAAGATAGATCAATACGAAATTAATTATCCTCAAACATCACCAGTTCTTGAGGAAAACTCATTGGGACAAATGATAGAATCTCAATCTTCTTATGAGACCTTAAATGCAATAAATAATCATTCTAATAATCCTTATACCAATTATTATAATCATGGTTGGAAGAATCATCCAAATTTTAGTTGAAGTAACAATAACTCTAATGCTACAAATCCGCAATGGGGAAACAACACTGCCCAAATAGCTGCTACTCAATAAGAAAAGGAAGTTTGTAGATATTGAGACTGTTGCACTCACTGAAGAGTGTAGCGCTATAATTCAGAAGAAGTTTTTTGAAAAACTTAAAGATCTTGGAAGTTTTAGTATTCCTTATACTATTGGTGAAAGATTTTTTGGAAAAGCTTTATGTGATTTAGGAGCCAGTATTAATCTTATGCCTTTATTAATTTTTAGAAGGTTGGGTTTAGAAGATATTTCACCTACAATTGTAACTCTTCAGTTAGCTGATCGTTCGATTACCTATCCTAAAGGATTTATAGCAGATGTTTTGGTAAAAGTTGTTAAATTTATCTTTTTTATGAATTTTATTGTATTAGATATGCATGAAAATAAATAAATTCCTATCATTTTAGAAAGACCATTCCTTGCCACTAGAAGAGCTTTGATAGATGTGCAGAAAAAATAACTAACAATGAGAGTTAGTGATCAAGAAGGTACATTTAATATTGAAAAATCAATGAGATACCTTGCAAAAGAGCAAGAGATTGAACGTTTTAAGCCATGAATATTTCAAGAAGACATTCAAAAATAAATTTGAAAAAGGAATATTTAGAATATCAAGATGAGGATAAAATTCAAGATGAATCAACCGAAGTGAGTAAAGAAGATTTGGATTATGTTCAGGAAAAATTTAAAATGTTAGACCCTAAAGAAAGTAATAAGAATTTGATTTCATCTATTGTGAAACCACCTGAATAAGAACTGAAAACACTTCCTATACATTTGAAATACACATTTTTAGGAGATTTATCTATAGTACATGTTATAGAATTAACTGATACAAAAGAATAACAATTGTTGAAACATTGAGAAGATAAAAAAAAGCCTTTGGATGGACATTAGCTGATATTAATGGAATCTGTCCTTCAAATTGTATGTATGACATTTTATTGAAAGATCAACATGAACCAATAGTTGATCCTTAAAGGAGATTGAATCCTATGATGAAAGAAGTTGTTAAGAAAGTGATTTTAAAATGGTTAGATGTTGGAATAATATATTCTATTTTAGACAATACTTGGGTGAGTCCAATTCACTGCGTTCTAAAGAAAAGAGGTGTGACTGTAGTGAAAAATGAGAATAATGAATTAATACCAACAATACAAGTCACTGGATGACAGATCTGCATAGATTATAGAAAATTAAATTCTGCCACTAGAATGGAT